GATCCGAACCCGGGGCCTTGGTGTTATTAGCACCGCACTCTCCCGAGTGAGCCACGGGCCAGCCCCAAAAAATTTTTTTTTCTAACACAAAATTGTATATCCAAATTTTATTGATCTTCAAGAGATATGAACCTTGGATTTATTCATTCTACATCAATGATGTTGATCATGTTTTGATTACATTGGGTACCTCAACATGCAGTCCCTGCTGAGGAAACTCAAAGTGCTGCATATTCTCTTGTAAATTTAAATAGGCAAATCAGCATTGTAGCCTTATGTACCTCTGCCCTTAAGGAAATTACCAAAAACTTATTTCCTTTCCCATTGCCAACAGTACTTGTTTATGCTCTTCCTTTCCCAAAAACGATTTGAGATTAAAACATACAGCATATAGTAAATTTAGATATTCTTTAGACATCCTGATTCACTAGTAGACTTTGTTAGGTTGGGCTTTGTAAATTTATCATCACACATTCACTTTATTCTTGGTATTGTGGTTGCTTGGCATAAGGTAGGGTATGTCGAAGTTGGCAAAGTATGTAAAGCCTCTAACACAGCCATTCTTGTTTTTTCCCAGTTTCCTTTTTGCCACCTATGGACTAAAGGTTTCTGAAGTAGAAGCAAGGAAGTTCTTGTCTGGGGGGAACCAGTGCCACTTTGGTTTGATTGCAGCTAGTGAAAAACAGCAGGGAAATACCCAGCGGCATAAGATAGCAAATCCTTTTCTAAGTTCTAATGTCATTTGCCCATTTGTTCTCTTACTGTGAATTGAATACCAACGTAAACTGAATTATCTTTTGCCCATATTTGGTGGCTGAGATTGAGTGATACAGTGTCTTTTTCTAGTCTCAGATTTTTTTTCTTTTTTTTTTTTTTGTTCTTTGTCTTAGTGTTTCTATATCCCTAGCATGTTGTATTTTGTTTGTTCTAAAATCTTACTTATGCACTGCTACCTTCTTAGGTGAATGTGAATAGGCATTTTATTTGAGTGGTTCAGTTTAATTAAAAAAAACTTTCTTTTTGGCAGGAAGTAACCCTTTAGTAAGAGAAACTGGGATGGAAGTTGGAAAAGAAAGTGATTTAAATATTTCAAGTCATTCAAAGACAGATGGTATGACTTTTCCTTAGTTTGTTTTTATTAATATACAACATTGTGGTTTAATGAATATTATCTATGTAGTAAGGAATAATTTCAGCATATTTCTTTTTGGCAGGATTTTTAAATGCTGTTATTGCTAATTTATTTTAAGCAATAATATTTAAAATAATCTCATAAGATTCCAAAATAGTACAATTAAGACAGGTTAATGCATTATAGTGTGCAGCATTCTTAAAATTGCTAAGTTAGAGGGCAGGTATTTTAAAAGACTTAATGGGATATTAGATAGTTTGGCCATTTAAAGTTTTTTTGTAAACCAATGCACTGTTTCTCAACTTTCAGGCATTTGTGTACCAATATAATGATTTTCATGATATCTTTACATGACTTGTTCTATTGTTTACTATTTATTTTAAATATGTTCACTTTTTAGCTTAACTTAATTTTAGAAGGAAACTTTTTATCAGTCATTACTGAATAAAACATAAAACTAAAATACACTTGTTACAAATAGAAAGTAATGGTAAAATAAATACAGTGAAAATGAAGTTGTTAAATTTTATCTAAGTATAGTCATTAGCCATATAACAGCATTTCAGTCAACAGTGTACCACATATACGACAGTGGTCCCTTAAGATTATAACGGATTTGAAAAACTCCTGTCACCTAGTGACTTTACAGCTGTCGTAATGTCACAGTGCAGTGCATTACTCACTCATATCTGTGGTGACACTGGCCAGGAGCAATAGGCTATACCATATAGGCCTAGGTGAGTCACAGGCTATACCATCTAGTTTTCTGTAAGTACATTCTGTGATCGCACAAGGACGAAATCTAACAGTGCACTTCTCAGAACACATCGTTAAGCAGCACATGGCTGTACTGTTGGTGGGGATGTGTTCAGCCTAAAGTCTGCTTTGTCCTTGTTGATAGGAAAGATTAACAAATGTTAGAGGTTTTAAAAGCATATTAGAACCAGATGGGACTTTTTCATTGACACAGTCAGAATAACTAAGATAATAAAAAATAGAATACTTTTCTCACTATGTGATTCAATGCTATTCATGTAAGAACCATTTAAACCACCATGTAAGAAATGCCTCTATCCTTTAGTTTCCTCACTTGTAAGGAGAAGTCTTAGCAATATAATCTGACTGCTTTTCCAGCTTCTTAAGTTACATGATTCTATTTTTTTAGAAGATGAGTGTGTGTGTGTGTGTGTATTTTTTTTTTTTAACTAAAAAGCTGAGCCTATTCTTGTGAATGCAGATCTAGTTGGTAAAATCCAGTAAAAGAGAATATTCATCATGTACTTTATCATTCCACCTTACTCTTTGGGTTCCTTAACCATCTTCAGAACATGTGGGTAGTGTTTCAGTGTGACTATCCTGAATCTTGTGTTATATTTTTTATGCCAAACATACATATTAGAGAATGATCTTCTCTTTTGCAAAAAATTCTTGAAAGATTTTCTTTTAAGTAGCAAGTTCTCTAGTAGATTTGTCTTTGTTTGATTCATTCAGTAAGGAAGAAAGGAAAGCCCTTTAATCTTGGTTATTAGGACCCTCATAACAAATGTGAGATATGTGAGAATTGGTGATGAATAATCTCTAATTCCAACATAAATGTGTGATGAAATATTCACATTTCTATTTTGTGCTTTTTAGAGACAGATACCAACTATCAGGCATTTGTGTACCAATATAATGATTTTCGTCCTATGTTTATACCATCTGTTCTATTTTTGGTTGTGGCTCTCCCATACCACCCTGTATATTGGCAGGGGATGTTATATATATGTACATATATATAGATGTATATATTTCTCACCTATGTGTTGAAGGTTAACATGGTGCCTTACAACAGAGTATCTGATAAACTTTATTACTAGTCTCTTTCTACTTACATTGTTGAATTTCAGTAGTGTTAAGACCAATCCCAGTATTAAATATGAAGTAATAATGACCTATATACAACCACTCTGACCTTGGTCAATTACTTAACCCTCTCTGAACTTGTTTCCTCATCAATAAAATGGAGAAGGTAATACCTATTTCTTAGGGTAGTATATGTTATGAGAGCTAATCCTTATAACGGTTTTATTATGGGAACATAAAAATCACTTGGTTGATGTTGATATGATGATGTGGATGATAATACTTACAGCTCAGGCTGGACCTGGATGTATGAAGTATCCTTAGTTGGTACAGAGGTCATTTGTTGTGAGGTGGTGGAGAGTGTAGGAGGCATCTCATGCCAGTCAGTCCTGAATCAGTGACAATACTGAAATTAAAAATAGCCCCATTAAGGTACACCTGAAAAGTAATTTCTCTGCATTTTTCTCAGCCTCCGTAGATAGCAGACACCTTCTAGCTTTTCAATATGACTCCTTACCAATTTGGGTAATTTTCAATTTGGCATGACTACTACAACTTTTCTTTTATTCTAGGGTCGTCACCAGTGTTATCACCAAGGAAGCCTTCTCACCCAGTCATGGACTTCTTCAGTTCACATCTTTTAGGTGACTCTTCCTCACCAGCATCTAATTCTACTCATACAGATGCCCGTGAAATACTTGTGAGCGATTTTCTTGTTTCTGATGAAAACCTTCATAAGATGGAAAATGTACTTGATCTTTGGAGTTCAGGTCTTAAGGTATTGCAGTTGTTCAATTACAGTTTTTTAATATGCAGTGCAGTAGTTTTACTCTTGTTTCTACTGTTTAGTCTTCTTTAATTATAAGTTTGTTTTTTTTTTTTTGTTTTTTTTT